GACTTTTAGCCTACTTTACTGTAAGGAAATAAATTTCTCTTTGTTAAGGCCATTCACTTGTGGTATTTCTGTTGTAGCAGCACTAGATGACTAAGACAGATGGCGAGACTTCCTCTCACATACTTTGGACATGTATCGGGAGGAATCAGTCCCTGGAGAAGGACATCATCCTTGGTAGAGGGTCAGAGAAAAAGAGGAAGACCCTCAACGAGATTAATTGACACATTGGCTGCAACAATGGGCTCAAGCAGAATAACGATTGTGAGGATGGCTCAGGACAGGGCAGTGTTTTGTTCTGTTGTACACAGGGTCGCTATGAGTCGGAACTGACTAGATGGCATCTAACAACAACAACACAGACGGAAAAGAATATGAGGAAATACACTGAAATGTCCACAGTGGTTTGTAGTATTGTGGATCATTTTGTTTGGATATTTTTCTTATTTTCTAAAATGTCCATAATGATCACATATTGATAATCAGGAATATGATCATCAGGTTTCTGATATGAATATGGTGGCAGCCTAGTTCTAATATTCTCATTTTTCTTATTGGAAACTATAGGGAATAAAATGGAGAACTAAAAAATTTCCCCAAACTCCATTTTCAGTGAAACTAGGATAAAAAGGAGACCTAGAAAGTCCCAAATATGTGAGAGTATTGACAAAAGCAGTTAAGATCAGCAGGAAGTAGTGTTTCAACTTTGTTGATATAGCTCTGGGGTAAATAAAGATTACTAGGTATGTCTAAAATGGAACAACCCTATGGAGGCCAATGTGATAATATCTATTAGATCCTACAGAGACGTTCTACAGATAACCCTGCACAAGTTCAAAACAATTTATGCACAAGGCTGTTTATTATTGCATTGTTTGTAAAAAGCAAAGGACTCCAAACAATCCAAGTGTACCTAAATAGGGAACATCTCACAATGGGATGCTATGCAGCTGTGGAAAAGAATGAGGAAGCTCTCTAAATATTGAAATGAAAAGATGTCTAAGATACATTGTTAAATTAAAAAAAGGCAAGGTACAAAATAGTGTAGATAGTATGCCATCATTTGTTTAAAAGGGGGGGACAAAAAGAATATATTCCTTCTGCTTACATCTGCATACACCCTGAGAGGATACAATAATAGATGTGATCACCTCTTGCAGGGATTGTCTGTATATGTGAAATAATGTGAGCAAGGGCAAAGACGGGAGTGAGCGAGACGTTTTACTATATATATATTTTATTGTTTAGATTTTTGAACCACATGAAAGTCTAATCCCCATAAAATTTTACAGTAATATTATAATCAGAAGAGATCCCTGGAGGCACAGTGGTTAAAAAGCGCTCAACTGCTAACCGAAAGGTCGGTGGTTCGAGTCCTCCAGCCACTCTCCAGGAGAAAGGTGTGGCAGTCTGTTTCTGTAAAGATTTACAGCCTCGGAAACCCTACAGGCAGTTCTACTCTGCCCTTTAGGTCGCTATGAGTTAGAATCGACTCGACAGCAGTGGGTTTTATTATAATCAGAAATGGTTCTGTTTAAATTTGACGATCTAAGTCACTTTTGGCATCTCTATTGAGTTCCCTTAACACTGCAGAGATGAATTTACAAGTCCAGCAGTTTGGTACTTTCCAGTGACGTCCTGTTTTTGCATCCCTCATATGCAGCTGTGACAAAGATCCTCAGACCACCGTCATTGAAAATGGCCGAAGCCAGCAGGGTCGGTTTTCATTTGAAGTATTCCGATTTGTGAAACACAAGAATCAGAAAATGTCTACTGTTTTCCTGCACTGTGTTACGAAGCTCTGCAGAGCCGAGGACTGCCCCTTCCTCATGCCAGTATGTTTTTGCAACTTTATTTTAAATTGTAGAATTGATGTAATCTGAAGGGTTATCAAATGTCAGCAATCAATTTCTATATAGAAAGTAGATATGCATCGGGTCAAAGAATTTGAAATAGGATTTACTCATTCATCCAGTAAACATCTATTGTATGCCTACTTTATGCCAAGCATTTTCCTGGGGATACAGGGCTGAAGCACATGTGAATTCTGAATTAATTTAGCTTAGACTTTAGGAGCATGAGATAGTCATAGAAGAAAACAAGATAAAAAAATTATGGTGCAAAGACATACATCTATATGGAGATTATATATGTATATGTGTGTGTGTGTGTGTGTATATATATATATATATACATCTCCATTGTGAGAGAATTAGAAGGAGAGCTTGGGAGGATTGGTAGAAGGGATTAACCTTGAATTGTAACTTTGAAGATGGCTGAATCCCAAAGGGACAAAATTAAGGGTATGAGGGATACTCTATGTCAAAGTCACAGACACATAAAACAGGGTGATGAGGGAACTTCCAGTCCTTCAGTGAGGCTGGAACATAGCAGGGGATGATGGGAAGATCTGAAGAGGGTTCCAGGCTGGTGCTAGAAAGGTAGGTTGGGGCCAGATGATCCAGGAATTCCTCAGAGTCTCTTTGTGTTAAAAGCTATGAAAGATGTGGGTCTCAATTGCAGACCAAAACCAAAAACCGAACTTGTTGCCCTTGAGTCAATTCCAACTCATAGTGACCCCATATGTTACAGAGTAGAACTGCTTCATAGGGTTTCCTAGCTGGACCTTAGCAGAAGCAGATCGTCAGGCCTTTCTTCCATAGGTGGTTTTGAACCACCAACTTTTAGGTGAGCAGCCCGTCACAAACCATTTGTACCACCTAGGGACATCCAACTCATACAGCCAACATTAAAAGATAGATCCATTTAATAGTAAAAAAAACAAATTCTATTTCTGACAGGCCCCTTTGGGGTCACATCAATATTAAGTCGAGAAAAATACAAGCATGGTTTGTAAAACTGAAAATAGCTTTAATATGTTTATATGTAGTCTTGATTCATGCACAAATGGGGAGCTATCTCTTCACATTCATTGACTACTTTGATCTTAAGCAGCTATACAGATTGGGTTAAACAGAGAATCCATACATATTACTTTGGCTCTGTGCTGACTAACATTTCAGGGAAGGATTTATTAAAGGCTTGAGAGAAATAAAAGTAGAAAAGTTTGATAAACACAGCTGTTTTTCAGGAGAGCCATTGAGCTATGTAAATCAACCAGGCAAAGCACAATTACAGCAGGAGGAAATAAGAAACAGCCCAAGCCAGGATAAGAAACACAGTAGCAGTTACATGCAAAGTAATTAAATAAAAGCACAGAAGGAAACGAATAAAGTTAAACGTGGTACCTCTTCCAAAAGAATCTGCTTTCCAAATGGCCATAAAGAAAACAATTTTGTGCCTATGTGGAATTTCATTTGTTTTCATTAACACCTCAGATTTGCAGCCACAGAGAAAGGAGAGATGCAGGGCGGAGGACAACTTGGAGCCCTCAGAGCACTTCTGGAAACGCAGTCCTCTCCGCTGGTCCCATCATTACTCGGAGTGGTAGGGGTGCTTCTCCTTTTGTGTGTAGTAATAGACATTTCCAAGATGGCTTGCTACTTGGCTTCTAACAAGAACTCAAAGCCGTTCTTAAACAACACTAATTAACTGAGACAAGATAAGCTGCTAAGCAACTTTAATTTCACAATAGTTTCCTATTTACTCAACTTTCACACAAAGAGCAATAGTCTCTTCTTATTCACATACCCCTTCTCTCTCTCTCTCACACACACACACACACACACACACATGCACGCACACACACACACACACATACCAGCAAAGGATATATTTCATTTCACCCTCGGATCCAATCTTCGCCCTTCCTTGCCCCTGTAAACTGACCTATGTCTATCAACCAACTCCCTTGCTGTCTAGTTTCTTGTTGGTTTTGGTCAATGGGTGACTGTCAGAAGATGGGAAGGCACAGAAGAGTGAAATTTACACAACTGATGCCAGACAGCTCTCCATAGAACTCCTCTCTTTGGGTTCTGGAAACCTCCCCTTAGCCCTTAGTTCAGGCAACTTAAACTTTTTCTTGTGAGTTCTCTACATCTTTGTAAATAGCCCTTTTATTAACCAAACCACTTGCCATTGTGTCTTTTCCACGTCATGATGACTCCATGTGTGTCGGAGTAGAACTGTGCTCCACAGGGTTTTCAATGGCTAATTTAATGGTTAATTTTGTACGTGGATCACCAGGCCTTTCTTCTGAGGAGACTCTGGGTAGACTCAAACCTCCAACCCTTTGGTAATAGCTGAGCATGCTAACCATTTGCACCACCCAGGGACTCCCCTTTATTAAACCCTCCTTAAATTGCTCAGATTAAGTACCATTTGTTTTCTCCCAAGACCCTGAATGCGACACACTGCCATGTAGTGCACTCATTCAGTATGCTTGTAAATTTATATGATCTAGTGGACACAGCTGTTTATACACACATGCTCTTGTGTATACAAATACTTTTTATTAATGTTCACACACACACACACACACACATATACACTCCAAAAGTGTGTTGCTTCAATTCAGTGTGAACCCAGAGACCTCCAGAGCCAGTTGGAAAAAGCAGACACGTTATTCAGTGTAAACAGCACTGAAGCTGAAGTCAGGAAACTGGTTCAGCTCTCAGCTTTCGTCCTAACACCACGTGCCTTGGGATTTTACTTTACTTTTCCGGGTAAACGTTTCTTCAGTTTTTAAATGATAGATTTAAAAACATAGCTGGAAGATTATAACTCTGCAGTTCTAAATGTGTTTTTAAAAATGCAGAATTTATGTTTGGATTATATTCTAATAGTATTTTTTTCTATTTTATAATAACAGCAAGGCTGTTATTATTTTTCAGTTAGATTGTCTTTATCTTTTTCCCCATACCTCCCATTCCATTTAAAAAAAAAAATCCAAACCCATTGCCGTCGAGTTGATTCTGACTCACAGCGACTGGATAGGACGGAGTAGAACTGCCCCATAGGGTTTCCAAGGCTTTGTGGAAGCAGACTGTGTCTTTCTGCCTGGGAGCAGCTGGTGGCTTCAAACCGCTGACCTTTTGATTAGCAGCTGAGCGCTTTAACAACTGTACCACCAAGGCTCCTTTCCCATTCCATAGTGAAAAGAAACTTTTGCCCACAATAGGTGAATAATTAAGCAGAAAATATTTTTGGACTGAAAAAAATCCAGACGATTGCTTTTAATCATAAAAACAAACTAACAAACCTTTTAAATAATGCACAAATGGATTAAATATGAAATTTCAAACTTAGTCCATCCTCCCTGGAGATTTAGTTCATGCTTTGAATGGTTTGAAAGTGACTGGTTTGTGGTTTGTGAAAGACCCAATACTTAGGTCGTTCTATCAGAAACAGCTCATAGGATTATACTGGATGAAAACTCAGCTCTTGTTGCCAATGATTAGGAGTGTTTTGGGTGGGCACAGCAAAAATGTTTTGATTTCTATGGAGCATATCTATAGTCAGTTGGCTGTAAGAAAGTACCTTGAGCAACATATCTCTGCCCGTCTTGAGTAGTTGGCTTTCCCTCCTTAATAACTTCCTTACTTTCTTTTCACCTAGGCCAAAGCAAATTTAAATATTAGAAATTGTAAATAATTTGCTACAGTAAATAATTTAAAAAATTACTAAGAACTCCAGATCCCAGTCAAGATTACCAAGTAGAAGTTTTTAATTCTACCATTACTAGACAGCTGTCCAGGTTCATAGGTTTCACCTATACCATGTTCAGTGGCCCAGAATATCCATGCTATAACCTTGAAGAGCTAATGCAATGTCTCTGACATCATGCCTGCATTTCTTCCTTTCCAATTTTTGACCTGTTTCTACCTCAAGGATGACACCTTATTCCTCAGTATACTGAGCTTGTGCTTTGGTTAGCTCAGCCTCTCAAGAAGCAAAACCCTCAACGGCTCATGTTCAAACCTTCCAGATACCCTTCATTTCTCTGTCTCTCTCTCTCTCTTTGGGTTTATGATTATTTTTTTAAATAATTTTTGATAGTAGCAGTAGGAAGGCCTTCACTTTTTGGTAATCATAGTGGCCTCGCTGCTTGTTGGGGGCTGTCTATTGATTCCGATTCATAGTGACCCCATGTGACACAGTAGAACTAGAACTGCCCCATAAGGTTTCTGGGCTGTAATCTTTATGGAGGTAGATTGCCAGGTCTTTCTTCCACAGGGCTGCTAAGTGGGTTTGAACTTCCAACCTTTTGATTAGCAGCTGAGTGCTTCACTATTGCCTCACCAGCACTCCTTCCTCACTGTTTAGAGGCCCATATATAACAATCTTACATTATAATACTATTTCGTCCATGCCAAAAATTGTTTTAAATCCCACATAAACACAGCATGTCACATAGCATATTAAAAATGTCAATTAAAACACAGGAACATTTGCTCTCAGTGTTCATGAAAGTAACTTCTATACCCACAGGTCAAAAGAAAAAAAAGAATTATTTTTCTTCAGAAGGCTGACCTGGACTTGGATCTTTGCTTCTTTATCCTCGTGCACAAACCACAACAATAATATAAAAACAGAAACAAAATAAAACCAGCAGTTACAACAAACATAAATATTACAATATCACAGCCTTTCCTGAAGTATGATTCTTGGAACAATAATCCCTCAAAATGCTCTTCAGAAAGTTTCCAGGAATCAAATATGATAAGGAAATACTTCCCATACATAGTTATATTAAAGGCAGCCCTGAGAAATCTTGCAGTTTTTAATAAAAGGCAGTTTCTTTTTCAAACGTAGAGTTTCCTAATATTTGACTGCAGCAGAACTATTTTGCTGTATAAACCAAATCCAAATACATTGATTCCGACTCGTAGTGACCCTATAGGATAGAGTAGAACTGCCCCATAGAGTTTCCAAGGCTGTAATCTTTATGGAAGCAGACTGCCACATCTTTCTCACACTGGAACTGCTGGTGGGTTCGAATTCCTGACCTTTTGGTTAGCAGCTGAGCACTTAACCACTGTGCCACAAGGGCTTCTTTTTTTTTTGCTGTATAATACTTATTAATATCCTGTGTTTTCCACAGAATGCACACTCACTTTTTTTATCTAGCAATATGGCATTTACCTCTGTTTTACAGATGAGGACACAGCCTTAGAGAGGCCCAGTGACTGGCTAGAGGCCGTGCAGTAGACGAAGGTGGAGCTGTACAGTGTGATGGTTAAGCATGCTGACTCTGGAGTGGTCTTCTGGGTTCAAATCCCCAAAATGCCACTTACTATTTGTATGACTTTGGGCAACTTACAGAACTTTTCCATACCTCAGTTCCTTGTCCTGTGAAATGATAATAATAATAGCTCCAACATCTACACGTTACTATTAGGGTTAAACCAGATGATCCATAGAGTACTTGCAATAGCTCCTGACCATTGAAAGCACTTAATTAATATTGGCCATTAATACTATAATTACTTTAACCCAGGCCTTCTCACTTCTAGTGGAGAGCCTAGAGTAAAAGAACTACTTTAATACTAAGTTGAACCATTTGAAACTGCCAATATATAATCAGCTATGACCTATGAAATAGGCAAGTTCATATGGTCCAATCTGATACAATATGAGGATTCCCAGAACTCAATTAGTCATATCCTTCCACAGCCAAATCCCACGTAAGCTTATTGTCCAAAATGATGACCGAGGCTACACTCTTGTCTTAGTTTCACTTTGTTTTTACTTTAGCTCAGCTAGACTTTATCTCTCCAGGTCTTTATGGCTAATTTTATAGACACCAGTCCAATTTCAGGCTTGATTTGCTCTCTTCAGAGCTCTCTGATACTTGGAACCTTTGCTCTGTTTGCTCGTTGAACCACCTCTTTCCACTAGACATCTGACTGATGTCACATCCAATAAGTCGTTCAACCTAGAAACATATGCTTTTGTTTTTTGTTGTTGTTGGTTTGTGTGTGTGTGTGTGCATGTGTGTGTTTTAAATGAAATCAAATCCATTGTGTATATTTTCCCTCAACATTCTTAATCCTTTTTTTGTTGATTTGGGGACAATTTTCACATCCCAAAATCCAAAATCCTGAAAATTCCTAAAGGATTCTTAATTAAAACTCCCAAACGCTAAAACTACTTAAAACTACTCATCATGGGGTGCAATTCTGGAAATTTAAATTTGCAAACACTGAAAAAGCAATAGCACCTACTTGTTCTGTTTATGTAAATTCCTATGGAGAAAACCAAGCCAAATCAGTATCATTGAGCTTTGTAAATAGTTTGTAATTCATTATACATATTTATTTGGCCCCTGCAGAGACAGGCACTCCATTAGCGGAACTGGGATAAAATAAACAACAGGCCATGGTCTTTGCCCTCAGAGCTTAGAGTCCAGAAGTAGAGATAGACTATTCATAAACAGCACAATGCACAGGGAAAGTAAAAAGTCTGGAGGTTCTTAACTTGAAATATCTGGTCCATTTTACCATATACGTAGTTAAGGATATTTTTTAATAGTTTGCTTGTGCTAAGAAAGGAAAAATATTCTTTCTGTATATACATTTTCAGTAATGTTGGTAATTATTTTCTATTTATTCCAAATACTTATATGAGAGGAAAGCAGAGATTGAAAATTTATCTGCCATATCTGGCTTTCAAACAGCTGTGATATTGCTGCTATTGCCTTCCTCCCATGGACCCTTAGCTAGCCATATACATTTTTGGAGAGCCCACTGTCATGAGCTGAATTGATAACTAAGACACCCACCAAGTATAGTATTCCAATCTGTTCTTCCTCTAATTCCAGAAGACTTCATTTGCTTCTTCTAGCACATTATGTGTATGTTAAAAGCAAGTGGTGTGAGGGAAATACAGAAGTGTGTGATGACAAATACCTGGAAAATGTCTACCTCCCTTTTCTAGGCTAGACAGTGCTTTGATTTTTTTTTTTTAATTGCAATTGTTGTAGTGAAACATCTTTCATCAAAGCCTTCTGCAACAAAGATATTTTTACTGTGACATATTAAAAAACAAAAATGAGACATTGGCTGCAGGCACTCAGGCTATAAACAGACCAAAATCCAAATAAGTACAATCTATAAGTGCTTTTTACACAATTTTGACAGGTGCCGATTCATTATGAGTAAGCATCTTTCAACATGCCCTTTACACTCACTGGAACACGTACCTATGAGTAAATTACTTACAGACTTTAATTGGTTAAAGTAAAGACAAGGACCTAAGTTCATGATTGGGTGATCTTTTACGGTTTTTCTTTTCTAAACAATTTGGTTTCTTGACTCAAGGGTCCTGGATCTGTCATACGATGGTTGTTTTATGTTTGTTATGTAGACTACGTGTGATATTGGGTAAATCTTTAAATCACTCCTTAGGATAAATTGTTATTTAGTTTTGGTACACATGTCCACAGTCCGTTGAACTGGTGAGAGTACTCCATCCTACCCCTTTGGTGTAGTTTCTTATTGTTTGAAGTCCTATAGATTCTGACAATCAAGTTGGCCTTTTGTGGGTATGGCCTGCTGTGGTTAATTTAACCCTTTATCACAATGGTATGAAAATGGCAGGATACTACAAACAGCAACCAGATAAACTGTTTCTCTCTACCTTTATCCTTCATCAAATAGAATTCCAAATAATATTCAAATATTACTTACTTTGAATATTACCCAAAGGGAGGATACTTCCTCTTTTTCAGAGTCCTGCACCTGGAGCTGGTATGACTCATTTGATATTTTCCATACTTGGACAGGGTTGTTTTGTCCCCTACAAAGAAGGCTTTTTTTTTTTTGGTGGTGGTGGTGGTGGTGGTGGTGACTGATCTCTTTGATTATTCTCAGGATGCAGAAAATAGTGGGGGCATCCAGTCATAGTATTTTTTTCCTTATGACTTTCTGTTCTGTTTTTTTAATAGAAGCATTTTTTTAAAGTGAGTAAGTATTCTTTCTAAACAAAGAGTCACTTTTAAAAAGAAATTTTAGAGCACTACACATTCTTCTCCCATGTTCCAGTGAGGCAGTCTGTCTTGGAAAAGAACACAGATCTTTTGGATGAGTTGGTCACAGTCCATTCATCTCATCTGTTTTTCCATGAGAAGGAAGTTTCTTTGTAAAGTGGTGGTGATTGGGGGTTAGGGCATTCCTAAGGATGTTCCATAATAATAACTTGTGTTATTTTTCTTTTTGTCCTATAGTAATGCACTGCACCATTCTAAGTAATTCTTTGAATGAGTGTGTGATTAATTTTGGGCATTATATTTCAGGGTCAGATAACAGACAGAACCAGCATTTCTGCCAAGATACATATATCTGGAAAAAATTGACATCAGGTGTTTTATAAATATCTCACTAGGTTCTCCCATCAATTGTTTCCAATATTAATAATGAATTTTCATAGATGGAGATATTATTCACTTCTGTAATCAAAAACATTTTCTATACTTGGGCAGTTTATATTCTTTTAGAAAAAGGACTCTGGAACTAAGTTTTGATTTAAGCATATGTTTACAGTATCAGGGATGTTGTGACAATTGGAAATTTCTTCATCTGTAAAATGGGGGTAGCAATAATATCCAAACATATGGCTATTATGAGGATTAAATGTGATAATATATGAAAGAACACTTTATAAACTGTTTTATACACACATTAATTATAAAAATATTTATATTCCAGAGCCAACTACTCAACTGTACATATTTTATGGTTCAACAGCCAACAATATTCACACTCACATATTAACACATAGATATAAAAATACAAAATCCACTAGTTGTACAAACCAAAGGATTAATAGCTACATGCTTACAAAATGGGCAACAAAATTTGGGAAACCAAATGAATGTGTTCATTGCATCCATTTTTATGTTGCTGGGAAAATGTGAAAAATCAACAGCTTTAATCTTTTCCTTAACAGATATAAATAAAATTGCAACTCATGCTTATGAGTCATGTTTTCCTTTCATTTAGTTATTAAGTGTGAATTCATCTTCCTGGAACTTAAAATGATGTTTTTGTAGACTAGGATGGGCAAATTGGCAACACTTAGAGTGGCACTAAATAATGAATATTTCTCTGTAATAAAATAACAAATGGCATGTTATAGGACCATAAAAAATGTAATAGCTGTTAACAATTACTGCCCCCACTAACCTGACTGGAGAGATAGTGATGAAACAAAGTTGGCAAGAAAGAATACAGTACAGTATATTTTGAGATTATATTTGTATGCCTGGGACAACAGCAGGGTGATGAAACCTAGGACATGCAGAACAGTAAATGGGAAATCAGTATAGTGTAAGAGGACTTTCATTATTGCCTTCCCTGTGAACATTGCAGGCCTTTGAACTGATTTTTCCAAGTTCAGTCATGGCCAAGGAAGCAAAACCAGAACAGACTTTAATTTTTAAAATTTGGGTGAACTGGAACAGGAAAAATTATGGGTCAAAGTCCTGCTAGAAACCTAATCTCCCTCTCAGAAAACAAGGGCAGTGTACATGTTGCATAGCAACCAGATCTCTTGCCCTTGGATTTTGAGCAGAGTTGGAAACAGCAGTGCCCCCCTCAAAGATGGTGGTTGACCAGCACTGCTTTGTGAAAATTCAGGTCTGTTTCAGTTTTGCTTCGCTGGCTATGACTGAACTGGTTTGAACTGGTTTGAAGCCCTGGGACATTGTGGGTGGAATGGTGGGAGGATATAGATAAAATGTAATTATAGAGTTAGAATAAACAAAGATAAATATTTGGAGAAACAATGTCACTTTTCTTTTTCTGCTTTTTCCCCCAGAAGAGACTCCAACCAACAATTCACAGCTTGGTAAGATAATTAACATAATGTTAAAATAAAAATATGATGTTCTCTTCATTTTAAGTATATTTTGAGGATCAGTTATAAAACTAATCAAGTATATGCAATGAGCCCTGGTATTACACGTTTGGTATATTTTAAATAATAGTTTACTGACAATTTTTTAATTCACATGTGGTCTATTGATCAATTTTATAGCATTCTACAGATGATTTTTTTTTTTTTAACTATCCATGAGATACCAGGGCTCTAAAAGCAATCCTTTTGGTGTTCGGTTGAATTGCAGTCAAGTAGATTGCACCATAACACATTGTCATGATTTATTTTATAAGATATTGATGGCAGATATTTTGCAGGTATAAACTGAAATAAAGTGAGAGATTTGGTATTGGACCTTTGCCACTCTTGTGTGTTTCATCACTTGCAGGTTCTCCAAGTGAACCTCCTTTCCAGCTGAACTCCATCACCAGTGCACTGATATCAGGCATGGTCATCCTGGGAGTCATGAGCTTTTCTCTGCTCCTTTGTTCACTGGCCCTTCTACACAGGAAGGAACCCACCAGTTTGGTGTTGAATGGCATCAGAAACCCAGTCTTCGAATGACTATTATAGGTCCTTGCTCTCAGAAGAAGCCTTCACTGACTATATGTGTGTGGCTCAGTCAGTGTTCCATCTGAACTGAGTGCCAGCCAGCACTTGTTATGTGTAGGCTTGTTAGATGTAATAGTGTAGCTCATTAGCATGATGATAGTGAAAGAATTTTGATAGTACTGCTCTTGTCATTTGTGTATGTGGTCAGCCCTATTTGTATGGCAACAGATGGGTATACTAACAATCAGTAAAAAGTATTCAGGACTTAGATCTTACAGGATCAGTCATATTTCTTTTTATGTGAATTTTCTTTTGATTATTGATTATGGAGATAAAAGATGGGGTTAGAAAAAAATTGTTGCATTTTTTTCCCCAAGAAGCCCAATGTGATGGCATTTAGATTTACATATGTAGTCCTAAAATAAAAGTTGCTTTTGTTTAATCCCAGCTAATTCCAGCTTGGGGATTTGTTTTAATTCGATTGGCCAATTTGGACACCTGAGATTTAATTACTCATTCTATGACCTGTGTTTTTTGGCTGATGTCCATGTCTGATGATATTCATTTTAAAAGAAACTCTTGGGATATGTATTTTAACCTGGAACATCCATTTGAGTAGCAAATAGCAGAGATAGTTGTTAACTTCCAAAGGATATTAAAACCAAAAAGAAACCAAACCCATTGCCTTCGAGTCAATTCCAACTCATATAGACCCTATAAGACACAGTAGAACTGCCCCACAAGGTTTCCAAGGAACGGCTGGTGAATTCGAGCTGCCGACCTTTTGGTTAGCAGCCAAGCTCTTAACCACCATGCCCAAGTGAACCCTAAATCATTATTCATTTGGATAAAATGGCTGTGATCAGTTTTCTCCTTCTGGTTCATGTGAAAATATCAACACATGTTAACTCTCCTCCCAGGTAAACAATTCAGTTACTATCACAGCTGTGCTTCCAGCAGTGAGGCGACTTTGCAAAGATTATTCTTAATTCAACAATCAGTACATGGAAAACAAATTGTGATTGTGGGAGGAGGACATTGTCACCACCATGTAAGCATAATGTTCCTGTGTGGGTTTCTAACAACTTCTTGTCTCCTTTTTCCCCTAGAACAAAGAGGAAACTTAAGGTGTCATAATTGCTATATAATAGTGTTTTCCTCTAATAGTAAACTTCAAGAAGCTTTTGATCCTTTATCAGTTTTGCAGAAACAAAACAAAACAAGCCAAGTTTTAATTAGTCCATGTTCTTAAAAACACACACACACAAACCCCCAAACTTTCCCTGTGTTCAAGCCAAGCCATATACACAATTGAAGACATAAAACAATTCAGTGACAAACACCTAAACTCAGCATGTACAGTGACTTGAAGTGCCACATTAACTATAAAAGTTGCCACAGAAATGAATTTCTATTCAACATTTGTGACCCATTATAAAGGACTAAATTTACTCCACCACATGCAAATCACTATACAACTTTAGATTTGTTTCAAATGAAGTATTTACACTCTGAATTTAATAATTAATCATCAAATCAAAAAAGCTTTTCTTCAATTTGCCTGAATATTTCAGGAGAAAGTGTTCAGATTATGAGGATTATTGCCTTTGCCTACTATTTCAAGGTATAGACACAGCCAAACTGAAATGAGAACTGGAATTCACTGGATAAATTTCTTTAATATAGAAAAAGTGTAAATCACTTAGGGAGTCAGTTTACTCTTTCCTCTGTTATTCAAAAATGACTTTGAAGAGACCATTCTGAACTTTATCTGCTTTAAAAATTTACTTTCTAACTAAAACAGAAAAAATCCTACAGAAAAAAAAAAATGAAACGTGCTACTTATGTTATGTTATATGTACATGGATAATATTAAAATATTCTGGTAAATCTATTTCAGATATTTTGAATGAATTGCCATTGATCCAAGGATTAAGTCAGAACTTAATTCATACCATTGAAGCCAGTTTGATTTTTATGCTTTTGGGATATACTTCACTTTATGAGTAAGGGCATATTTTACAAGCAACTTAGGTTTCATATTATTTTTTGCCTCCCTTTCATCATAATGGGAGAACCAGAACTATCATGAGACAAACCAGGTTTATTTTATGTAGCTTTGTTCTTTGAAACCTGCAATTACACATAGTATTTAGTTATGCTGAATATTCCAGTTACTATAGTGTGAAAACCTTACAAAATATGTGCAAATGTTCCTTCAGTTTTAATACCTCAAACTGTTTTTTGCACTTCAGGGGTAAGGTCTGATGACATGTAAAAAATGATTGTTTAATAAAATAATTGTAAAAGAATTTCTTTAAAATATTGATCTGATTATTTTTTCAAGACATTTCTCTTTCTTACTCTCAATATCCTATTCCTACTTTCATGAATGTTAAGAAGGATTTCACCTAAAGAAGCCGCTCTTATGCATCAGGAAAAGGGCAGTGATCTCTGAAGCTAGATGAAGCTGAATAAAGTCTGTCCTCTCAATACTGAGCTTCGTTGTTAAGATGCTGTGTGTTGGAAGACACATCCCTGAGATCTGCTGAGGGAAAGGAAGTACACTTTACCTTGAATTTGAACTCTGACTAAAGCTTGAGCCTGCGATTTTTAATGCTTTGGTAGAGAGAACATAAATAGCAAAGCCTAGGAGTTCAGCTTCTACCTGGAGCTTCACAATCTCTTCTGGACAGGTCCATCAGGTCTGGCTGTCCTCCCACGTTTGCAGGGAGGATTGATAGGGAACCAACACCAAGTTGAGGAGAAATCCGTTTCCTAGATTGAGGAGAATCTAGTCTTACAGAACTAGACACTATTCTGGGGCCTAAAGTACCAGCAGTTAGCTTTGGGAACATCAGAAGACACGAGGGTTCATGAGGGGCATTGTCAGCTGTGGAAGATGTAAGGCCACTTTACATAACCTCATAGGCAGTAAGCTTCTATATTCTACATTTACAGGAAAAAGAGCAAGGTACTCATAAATCAATTGCTTTTGGAAATGCATTTCCTTGATTAATTACAAATGGGGAGACATTGAATATAAAACAATACAAATTTATAATTAAAAAAAAAAACTTGGATAGTAAATAAAATAAATACCAGAGTTAGCTTTGAAACATGATAAACTTATAAAATACGCCATCCATATGTATCACACTGCTAAAAAAAAGTCCTAATCAATCCATTGATATTAAAGGAATAAATTAATAAAAGTGTTAGAAAAATTTGTCAGTAGACAATTGAGATGATTATAAAACATTTAATGTCTAGAGGGAAGGGCTCATGAGCAGATGGTCCTCTTTTATGTTAGCTGAACAATAGGAATGAAATGGAAGAAAGGCAGGGCCAGGAGGAGGTGGACAGTGATGAGCTCCAAAGTCATGCCAAGTCATCCCACACCTTCAGGAGAAAGAGGGCAGAAGGCAGGATGGCATTGGAGGACTTACTGGACTCACATCCTGCAGGGTTGCCATTGAGGTGCTGGTAGCCAAGGAGAAGAGTGAGAACATCATCAGTGACAACAGCCCAGGACAGTGAGGAACATAACTCAGGATAGCAGAGATCACAGGGGACAAATGCAGCAAGAGAACCCCTGGACCCTGAGAGGGAGGCAACTTCTTAGACGGGACTGGTTGACTGGTTAGGAGTTCAGACCTAGAATTTTTTATAGCTGTTCCCCACATTCCTCAGGCAGGAAGCCCCATCTCCTCCAGAGGCTCAAGGTAAGTGGAAACTAGATAAACATAAGTTATACTTTCATACATAACTTATGGGATAGTTTATGGGGCTGTCTTGTCTGTCAGTTTATTGGCAAACAACAGCAGTCTCTGCAAATCTGAATCACACAGAACTAAAATAGCCTTGGTTAATGCAACTTTTTGCTGTGATAGCAAGGTGTCACGGATTGAATTGTGTCCCCCAAAAAATATCTGTCAACTTGGCTGGGCCATGATTCCCAGCATTGTATAATTGTGTACCATTTCGTAATCTGATGCAATTTCCTTATGTGTTGTAAACTCCACCACTATGAAGTAATAAGATAGATTAGCAGCAGTTATACTGATGAGGTCTATAAGACTAGATAGTGTCTTAAGCCAATCTCTTTTGAGATATAAAAGAGAGAAACAAGCAGAGACACAGGGGAACCTCACACCACCAAAGCAGTGCTGGGAGCAGAGCGCGTCCTTTGGACCTGAGATTCTTGTGCTGAGATGCTCCCAGACCAAGGGAAGACTGATGAATCACAAAGACCTTCCTCCAGAGCTGACAGAGAGAGAAAGAAAGCCTTCTCCTGGAGCTGATGCCCTGAATTTAGACTTGTAGCCTATTAGACTGTGAGAGAATAAACTTCTCTTTGTTAAAGCCATCCACTTGTGGTATTTCTGTTACAGCAGCACTAGATGACTAAGACACAAGGAGAGAGTTGGTTTTGGGGTCTTCGACTCAAGTGTACTGGACATGATATTTGGAGGTCTCTGCTCAGTAAACTTCATTTATGAAATGCTTTGTACTCTTGGCAAAGTGAAATTGAGAACTCGGATTGTTATTTGCATAGTTTAAACCTCAAGTTCCCTTTTGCCTGAAAGTATCTGGATTTCCTTTCGACTTACATTGCCAACATTATTACCTCAATTTTCCCTTTCATTTTCTATGTAGAAAAGAGAAGTGCTATCATTATATGGAGCCTCAGTCAAAGGCAATGTGGCAGGAATTTTGAGGTTAGTTTCATCAGGGGTGTAACTGTATTAGCATTGCCCAAAGCGGAATCCATTACTGAATAAATAATCCTGCTGGTTTGGCTAATCAACTAGCACTGGAAGGTCCTGCGAGGGTTGTGTTTTGACAATTTCACTGCAACTCAGACTCAAAGTCATACAGGTCCTGAAGCTATTTCTCCTTGTGTCTGTAGTTTTGTAACTTTTTTTTTTTTTTTAACAGTAGTGAACAATTGACTAAAAGGAAAAATTACCCTAGAGGAAATGTAGTCAGTCATTTCTAGAAAGTATTTCCTATTTCGAAATTGGAAAATTAAAAACAAAACAACTGATTCGTTATTTAAAAGCCATTGTTTTGCCAACCCACGTTTTGTTGTTGTTAAAATGAGATGACAGAGAATGATGCAGGTGCCCTTTGTGCAAGAATTGAACCCAATTTGAATTGGGTTGAATTTGGAATTGAAATTGAATTGAAGCCCCTCTTGGCTTCTATACAGATAAATCATGGATGCTTCTTTTGACTCCACTGCACTCTCTACAACATAAAACAAAGGCAATTCATATCTTTCACCAAGCGATTCATCAAAACTTTACTGATTCGTTTCCATTTTGTCAATGGATATGTAAGGAGGGTTGCTTATTTCACAAAGCAATCATGTGTGCTCATTTGCGCATCGAGGACTTGATCAGAAATTCTCTTTAAAGTTACCATTGACACTGACATTACCATTAAACCCAAAGGACAGCACGGTTATTTAATAAACAGTTACAGAAATATTTCTAAGCTAAAGAAGTGTGCACACATTTGGCCTTGTATTCACTGTTGTATACAAACATAAGGACATTTACCTGGTTTCCACATATGACCAAATCTACATAACCCACTCCCCTGGGATGCTATTTTCATCAACCCATAGTAATACTCCTCAACCTTATCTTGCTTCTCTAGGTATAAGATTCAACTTGGTGGGAATTCTATGTAATTTTTTGTTTTGACATATACGCAATTTGAGTGAGTTAGCAAAAGGTAGAACATGGGGCTAGGACTAGAAAAGAGAGGCTGAAAGAAGAGTTAGAGATATGCATAACTTTCTTTTTTTATTCCTAAAATTTTCAAGCTTAGAGAAAAATGCCGAAATCAGCGTAACAATCACCTATGTTCTACCACCGAAGAGTAACAGATAAACATATTTTGTTTTAATTACTTTGGATATATAAAAATTTATTTATTTACGAATAAATTGAAATCCATTTGTCTTCCTCTCTAATTCTTTTCTCTCTGTGCCCAGAGGGAATCACTATCATAAAGTTGGCATGTCTCCTTCCCATCCATGTTTTTATATTTACTACATATGCGTATTTTCCAAATAACAAACAGTTTTAGTGTTATCATACTGTATACTGCCTTATCATGCTGTACACTTCTTTTACATCTTGTGTTTTGAAGTCAACAGCATGTTACTGAGATCTCTTCATTTTGATACAAATCAATTTCAGGGCTACCTCCTTACATTAATCTATTTGCTTATTACTAAGAGCTTAGCTGTTAACAAAAGGCCAGCATTTAGAATCCACAAGCTGTTCCTTGGAAACCTTATGGGACAGTTCTACTCTGTTCTAGAGGGGATGCTATGAGTCAAAATTGACTTACCAGCAACACATTTGGGCACCAATAACTGACTGCTTTAATTATTATTGCCTAACATTAATTTCTTTGTAACAGATCTTGATATCTTGCGGATATTGTGTAGATAAGGAAATTCTCCTCTTTTTGACCTTCAAAATTACTTGAGCTATTCTTGGATCTTTACTTTTATATATGGATTTTTAAATCTGATTGTCATGAGAAAATTTATGTTAGAAGTTTGAAATTTCATGGAACTTCTAGATTAATTGGGAGAAAATTGCTATATTTTGAGTACTGAGAGATTTTTCATCATTAATCATGGTCTATCTCTTCATTTAATCAAGTCTTTCTGCATTACCTTCAATTAAGCACTGTACTTTTCTCTATAAAAGTCAATCATTATTTCATACAACTTTTGTTGGATTTATTCCCAGGTATCACACATTTTGGTGGCTTTAGTAAATAAATTCTT